GACAGCAAGGAAGAAGAGTTACTGCACTTAGCAGCACATAGACAAGCCCCACCAGGCAGGATCTCAACGGACACAGGCTCTTGCATCAAAGTCAGGGCCCCAATATGCCAGTGACCCTGATCTGACCATTGTGCGTTATACATTAACAGTGCCACAGTATACTCCACAAATATGTACAATTATTGTGTCATTTAAATATACATAAAGATAAAACTTTATTTTTAAAAAATTAGAGGCTAGGACTGGGGATTTAGCTCAGTGACATAAGCATTTGCCTTGTAAGCACATGGTCATGAGTTTGATACCTGATACCAAAAAAAAAGAAAATTAGAGGCCAGGCGTGGTGGCACAGATCTATAATCCCAACATTCTGAGAGTGAGGCAAAAGGACCACAAATTCAAGGCCAGCCTACGCAATTTAATGAGACACTATCTCAAAATAAAAAGTTCTAGAGGACTGAGGATATAGCTAGTGGTATAGCTCTTGCCTAGCATGCCCAATGTCCTGTGATTAATCCCCATCTTTGGGGTGGGGCAAAGAAAAAGTCAGCTCCCTGATGATGGAGTGGGACCCTGACAGTTTGGGTGGGGATGTCTAAGTGTGTGCCTTTGAGCATAGTCTTTTTTTTTTTTTGTCTTTTTCATTTTTATCGGTACCAGGGATTGAACTCACGACCGCCTGCTTGCAAGGCAGGTGCTTATGCCGCTGAGCTAAATCCCCAGCCGAACATAGCTTTTTATCACTGTATTGAAACACTTGAATTTTTTAGGTAATTCAAAACATTCTAACTATGGCAGTATGTTTAATCTAATGTTTTTCCAGTACTGGGATCTTTGTGCATGTAAGGCAAGTGCTCTACCTCTGAAAAATATCCCCAGTCCTTTATTTTACTATCTTATCATACTTTATTTTATCTTGAAACAAGGTCCCACTAAATTGCCAAGTGTGGTCTCAAAACAAGATCCTCCTGCCTTAGCCTCCTTAGAAGCTGGTTAACAGTATGTGCCATCACACCCAGATTGATCCACTCACACTTTCTGTGTGCACTGATTTAGCTGAATTTATTTATTTTTGGTTCCAGGAATTGAACAGACATTATGCTTGGCAGGCAGGTGTTCATGCCACTGAGATATATCTCCAGCCCCAATGAAGCTATATTTAACCATTTTGCTAGTTTTTCTCTTCCATTTATACATTTATTCCTCTACTCCTCCCTCCCTCCACCAGACTTAATATATTAAGTCCATTTTAGCCTTTCTTTCTTTTCCCACCCTCCATCCCTTTCTTTCCTTTTTTCTTTTTGCAGTACTGTCTCTGTAAAAGTGTCATATAAATACATAGCATGTAAAAGTAAATAAATACACACATAGCATGTGTAATCTTTTGTGATTGAATTCTTTTTTCTTGAGCCAGGATGTCACTATGCAGTTCAGGTTGGCCTTGAACTCACTATGTAGCCCAGGCTGGCCTCTAACTTGTAGTGATCCTCTTGCCTCAGCCTTCCAAGTAGACTGTTGAAACTATAGGCATGTGCCACCATGCCTGGACTTTTTTTTTTTTTTTTGGCTTGTTTGTTTGTTTTTGTTGTTTTTGCTCTTTGAGACAGGGTCTTGGGGCTGAGGATTTAGCTCAGCGGCATAAGCGCCTGCCTTGCAAGCAGGCAGTCGTGAGTTCGATCCCCAGTACTGATAAAAAGGAGAAAGACAAAAAAAAATAAAAATAAAAATAAAATGAGACAGGGTCTTGCTATGTGGTCCAGGCTGGTCTTAAACTCAGTATGTAGCTCAAGCTAGCCTCAAACTTCTGGTGATCCTCCTGCTTTAGCCTCCCAGTTACTGAGATTTACAGGCATGTGCTGCCACACCCAGCCTATGATTGAAGTCTTTCACACAGCATAGAGATTCATCCATGTTATTCCATATATTCCTGTTGCTTTAGGTTCCCCTATATTTTCTTCCTATTTATTGAAGAATAGTATTCCATAGCATAAACATAGAAAAGTGTGTTTATTCATTCTACAGGCACTAGACATTGGGGTGATTTTCAAGATCTCGTTATGATAAATACAGTTGCACTAACCATTGGTATACAATATTTCATATGAGCAGAGTCTTTCATTTCTCTAAGATAAATACCCAGGGATGGAGTTGCTGATTTCTATGGTAAGTGTATGTTTAACTTTATAAGCTGGATTCTTTATATTTATATTTAACAGTTAATTCTCTAGCATAGTTTGCTTTTCCTTTTTATTTACTTTATAAGTATTTACTTGCCAGGTGGAGTGGTACATGCCTATAATTCCAGCACTCGAGAGGCTGAGGCAGGAGCATTGTGTGAGTTCAAGGCCAGCCAATACTACATTGTGAGATCCTGTCTCAAAAAAATGACAAGAAAAAATTTATCTAAATTGCATTGTGGGGGGTTTAAACATAGGGTCTCTGCAGTGAGCTACACTTGAGCCCTTTTGGAAAGTTTTTTTCTTTTTTAACTTTGAGACAGAGCCTCACAAAATTGCTAAGTTGTCCACACGACCTTGAAGTTTCTGTCTTGCCTCAGCCTCCCATACTTATGGGATGTCAGGTGTGCATCACTTGCCTGTTTTCTTCTTTTATTGTAGTAGCTAGAAAAAAGCCAGGCAGTACTTTCTACCACCTCCTTGGGAATCTCCTTAACTAGATCATCTTACTCATCATTTCCCCCATTCTCTCCTATTACAGGTGACAATATTGCTAAATTTCTTGTCAAAAACACATCAGCTGTTTCCTTTCCTTCACCTTCCAACATTTTCCTTTAGTTTCCACTCTCAGCCTTGACAAAGATTCATCCACTGCCCACCCACTGTCTAGCGCTGAAGCCAGTACCACCTGATTCAGATTTACATTGGCCATCTCCATTTATAGAACCATCCCCTATTGGGCTCTCCATAGGCACATCATGAGCCAACTCGAAATAAGTGCTGTGGAAACATCCGCAATCATCCAGTGTTTCTATTAAGTAATTCTTTTTTTTTTTTTTTTTTGTCTTTTTCCTTTTTATCGGTACCAGGGATCGAACTCACAACTGCCTGCTTGCAAGGCAGGCGCTTATGCCACTGAGCTAACTCCCCAGCCCCTGTATCAAGTAATTCTTGACTGGGCTCAGCTGGGTGACCCACTTTGGCATGGCATGTGGCGGCAGTCAGACCATGACTGGGGCTGGAGCCATCTCAAAGTTTTTCTTACTCACCTGTAGGTCCTCAGTAAGGATTTATGTCCTCTCTTGTGCTTCCTGACAGTGTGATACCTGACTGTGAAAAGCAATTTCCCAAAATAGGAGGGAGAGGGGGGAGAAAAGGGGGAAGAAGAGAGGGAAGAGAGAGTCACCTTGGCTTCAGAAACCACACAATGTCATTTCTGATGCATCCTATTGACTAGAAGCTAGTGTGGCCTTTTTTTTTTTTTTTTTCTGTCATTGGTTTTGTTTTTGCAGTGAGATCTTGTATTGCCCAGACTGGTCTTGAACTCTAGGCTTAGCGGCCTTTTTGTCTTGTCCCAGATGTCTGGAACTGCAGATAGGCACCACCACACCCACATAAGTCCAGGTGATTATTTTTGTTTTGGGTTCTGGAGAGTGCTAAATTATATCCCCAGGCCTGTTTTATCTTTTATTTTCTCACTGTGTTGTCCAGGCTGGCTGCAAACTCATGATCTTCCTACCTCAGTCTCCCAAGGAGCTGGGACTACAGATGTGTCACTTAAAGCAGTTAAATCCATTTTTCAAGGGGGACATGCAGAGGGCACAGGTGGAGAGAATGTGTGTTTTGGAGGTAGACAGGTAGATAAGTGGTCCATTTATGAAGACAATACCAGTCAAAAAACAGATTTTTTTTTTCAAAAAACAGATTTTTGAGGAGATCTTAAGGTCATGCCTAGCATGGTGACAAGGAAATGTTTCAGGGGCTAGAAATGGAGACATGGTGCAGGCTTTAAGAAATACTAACTTGGAACAGGTTGAAGTTGGGCTCACAAGGCAGGCATGGTGGTGCGCTGCGCCTGAAATCCCAGCATTCATAAGGCTGAGGCAGGAGGATCGCCATGAGTTTGAGGCCATCCTGGGCTACAAAGTGAGTTCAGGGTCAGCCTGAACCACATAGTGAAACCCATCCTCAAAAAAAATTAGACCACAAACTAGAAGAGGTTATCAAGGGCAAAAATGGAGAGGGATGAAGGAACAATCAGGGCTGGATGGAGGATTCCAGAACTCCTTCATGTCCACTAACTCTGCTGTGCACATCCTAGTGGAGCTCTGATTAGGGTGCAGAGTAGATTCCCTTGTGATTCTTGTGATAGATGGATGTCCCTCGGGGAAAGCAGGAGGTCAGACCTCAGGTGGGGTCAGCAAGCTTTCTCTGATCCAAGAGAGAAGGCAGAAAATTGGGAGTAAAGGACAGCCGGGATCTCTCTCCTTCTAAATGGGAATTCCGTCCATGAAACGGAGACTCTGGCTCCAAAGTGGGTGAGAGATTTGGGGCCAAGAGCGGTGGGACCACAGGTGGGACCCAGGGTACTGAGACCCAGTCCAAGGTTTGAGACCAGGAATTGGGGAGTCAGGAGCCTGCACGGTTTGCGTGGATTTCTCCAGAAGTGCGCACTCCCCTTCAAAAGGGCTCAAAAAAGCCAAGACACCAGCCCAGGCCTGGAGGAGCACAGTAGAAGCAGGGGCGGGGCAAGGGCCGCCGCCCGCTTTAGGAACTGTCGGGGCAGATGTCATGGCACAGCTGCCCTACAGGAAGGGAAGGCGACCTTCCACGCCTTCCCTGGGGGGTCGCTCTGCTCGCGCGCGAGTAGACCCCGAGTGGACGAAGGACCCCAAGGGGGCGCAGGGCTCCCCCTTTCCGCCTCCCCCCCACCCCCGCGGAGCAAGTTTCCCGTGCCGCCGCCGAAGTCGGGGATTAGCGCGCTCAGGCCGGCGCGACGGGATTAGCCCGCGTGGACTCGGCGCCCGGCCCAGGGATTACCGCGCTCCCCCCCCCCCCCCGCCCCGACGTATATATGCCTGCCGCGGCTGTCACCGACCAGGCCCGGCATGGCTGCGGCGAAGGGCGCGGCCAGCCGCAGGGGCCCGGGGCGGGCCTGCCCCTTCTCCATCGAGCACATCCTCTCCAGCCTGCCCGAGAGGAGCCCCCCGAGCCGAGCTCCCCGGCCTCTGCAGCCCGCCGGTCGCCAGAGCCCCGCCGAGTCTGTGGAGCCCGGGGTGCCAGAGGCTGTGCCCTGCACCTGCTGTTGCTGCTTCGGCTCACCTGCGACGGCCCGCAGGTCCCCGGAGACGGTCCCTGGGCTGGGTGAGTGGGCACGGAGCGGGGGCCGGGCCTGGGGGACGCCTCAGCCCGGGTGAGGTGTCGGTGCGGGGCTCGGCCCCGCCTGCGCCTTACTGTGCCCTCGCCCTCAGGCGCGCGGCTGCCGTGGCCGCTGAGGCTGGGGCCCGCGGCGCCCTCGCCCTTGGCCGCACAGACCGGAGGCTCCGGAGCGCTCCCCTGCGCGGGCGGCCAGGGCGCGCAGCGCCGCACGCGGCGCCACCGCACCATCTTCAGCGAGGAGCAGCTGCAGGCGCTGGAGGCGCTCTTCGTGCAGAACCAGTACCCCGACGTGGGCACGCGCGAGCGCCTGGCCGGCAGCATCCGCCTGCGCGAGGAGCGCGTGGAGGTGGGTACCTGGCCCGGCGCCCGGGAACCGGGGCCGCACACAAGGTTGGCGCCTCGCGCGGCTTCCTTCGTTGTCAAAGACCAATCGGTTCTGAGCACCGCCCTGGGACAGTGGGACCCGGCAGCGTGGAGGGAGGCTTCCTGCTCAAGGCAATGGCACGCAGGGTCAGTCCCGAGCTGGGACTGAGCGGGAAGAGATGCGTGTGGGAAAAGTGTCACTGGAACTGGAAGAGAGGAAGGCTAGTTTTCTTTGCCTTTATTTTAACCCTGCCCCTTTTCCTGGTGATAAAGCAGGCATTTGTTCCAGGTTTGGGAAAGTTCGGAGATGGTTGGAACTTCTGCAGACGGAGTGTCGTGGTCGCTGCTGGGTGGAGGCTGGACCGGGTGGGAAGGGGCTTCCCCCACCCGCTGGGCCACCCTGTCGGTCTGAAGCAGATGAGGGCAAGAAGGCCAAGTTTAGAAACCCCTACCAGGCCACCTGAGGGCCCTTCAGAAACTGGATGGGTTGGTCAGAGGTCCTGGAGGCCTGAGGAGTCTCTCCCTTCCTCCATCTCCCCGCTGGTCTTCCCTCTTTCTTCTCTTCCCTTTTCTCTTCCCCCTACTCCTCTTTTTTCTTCTTTTCTCCCCCACCCTCCCCCGCCTAGGTGTGGTTCAAGAATCGAAGGGCTAAGTGGAGACATCAGAAGCGGGCCTCAGCCTCTGCAAGGCTCCTACCAGGGGCCAAGAAACCTCCCAAGGAGCGCTGTTGAAGGAGCTGCTAGCTACCCCCAACCTTGGCATTGACCTCTGAGGCCTGCACAGAGAGGACAGACCTACCGGCTGAACCGAAGCTAAGAGGGAGCTGCAGCCTTTCCCATCATTCTCAGCTTCCTACCACCTAGAGCTGGTGCTGTGTGTGTGTGTGTGTGTGTGTGTGTGTGTGTGTGTGTGTGTTGGCACCACTAGTCTAGAAAAGCAGGACACACTACACATTTTACACACCTTTGTACCCTGTCCTTCCGGGACCAGTCAGGCAGTAACCACTGTGATTTCCTTGAAGGTGGAGTAGGACAGAAACTAGGTCAGCATCCTTAATCCCCTCTGACCACCCAGAGAGGCCATAACTCCATCCAGGACAGGGACCACCACTGAAAAGCACAGGAGCCCAGAATCCTTCCCAGTGGTGTCACCCTCTTCACCTGAGAGTGTGCTGACTGCCTTCCCTCCTCATATGGACACAGGCCCTTTGACCTGTCTCCCATCCCCCCAGGACCAGGCAGTGGACTTGCTGCCGCGTCCAAGGACCTGTGCTGATGGTATCTGAGCCTGCAGAAATAGCAGGTTGGATGAGGTAACTTCCACAAGCCCTTTCACCTGGTCTTTAATCTTTGCACTTTGTGCTAATGCCAAGAAAGAACCAAGAACTAAAAATACAGAAGCAGTACAGAGTCCCAAGTCTGCCCCAGCTCCATTTCCACACCCAGAGGGAAGCTGCCCCTCCTCCCTCCCTTCTAGGGAGGGGGTCTAGGGAGTCTTTGGAAGTATAGCCCAGAGCACACTTGAGTTGGGAAGACCACACACCTGCTACCTTGGAAAATGCCTGCCCTCCTCTCTACCACCTTGGCCCCAGAGTGAAGGACAACATGAAAAACAAAGCTTCCATTTCCCAAGGGGACCCATGCAATAGGTCCAACACTTCCAATATCCTACTCATCTAGCTGGAGCATCTTGTTTTGTTTTCTCAAGTTCCTGTTGGATGTAAGGGGGTGGTATGTGCAACAGCCCATCCATAGTAGCCAGACTGCAGAAACCAGTACACCAGGGGCTGTCTAAGGTTGGCAGGTTTGGGTAACACCATGCAGACACAGTGTCCCCCAGCTAGAGCTACCCTAACACTGCATAAATGCTCACTTCTACTTTCTAGGACACACACTTCTGGCTGTTGTAAAATGTTTCCCTGACTCATGGCCTTTACCTTGAAGATTGCAGTGTCTACCTGTGGACTTGACTCTGTCCTGGTCAGCTTCCCTGCAGGCTGGGACACATTTTGTTGGGTTCTAGGCCCCTTACCCTATCAGGCTGAATGGAATTTGTTATTGTTTTAGGAAAACCATGGTGAGAGCTCACTTGAGCTCCAGCTTCCAGGAATCACTGCTGTCTTGATCTGTCTCATTCCTTTAGCTACTCCTTGGCAAGCTGCCTGATTTCCTTTCCCTGATCCCAGCTGACCATTAACACACATGTCTGAGACTCAATCTCCAGGGTTCCTCCATCTCAGTTTTCATTGGTGTATCTTTTCCACTGTCTGTCTCCCATTCTTGCCTCTCTTCCATATTTATATCTCCAGCCAAGACTTCTCCCTGAACTAGATATTTATATAAAACTGTCTCCCTTAGGACTCAACCTGGAAGCCTGCAGGATTCTCAGGTTTACCTTGTCCACAGTGAGCTTTTCCCCCATGCAAATCAGGTGAATGAGCAAAGCTAGTAATCACCTAACTGCTCCCTATCTTTCACATCATACCCAGTCCAACAGCAGCAATTCACACATTATTGATAAATCTCAGAATCTACCTTTTTTCTAACTTCAGATGCACCTGTTTAATAGAAATCACAGTCAACTCTCACCTTGACCATTTTAGCTGTCTCCATCTTGTCTCACTGCACCTCTTCTGGCTCCCCTTTAATTCAAAATAAAGACAAATCCAGGTATGGTGGTGCACACCTGTAATCCTAGCACTTGGGAGGCAGAGGCAGGCAGATCTTTGCAAGTTCGAGACCAGCCTGGGCTACAAAGTGAGTTCAAGGACAGCCTGAACTGCATAGCAAGACCCTGTCTCAAAAAAGATGAAAAATAAACAAAAAAATTAAAAAATAAAGACAAAACTCCTCTTTTCCATGGCCCACAAAGTCCTAAGAAGCCTGACTTTGCCTCCTTATCATTATCTCATAGCTCATTGTGCTGTGTATCCAAAGGTCTGCTTTGTAACTTCCCTTGTTCCACGTCCCCACTGGGACTTTGCATATGTGCCTCCCATCCACTTGAGCAATGCTTGTCCATTCACCTTTTGTATCTTTGACCACTTTCTGCCTGGAGAAACTTCTACTGAATTTCCCTACTAGGTCAAGACTCTCCAGTACAAATCAATCATGGCTGCACTTATTATTTTTTTTTTTTTTTGAGACAGGTTCTCATTATGTAGTGTATACTGGCCTTGAACTCACGCATGTAGCCCAGGTTGACCTTGAATTCAAGGCAGTCTTCCTGCCTCAGCCTCTTGGGTGCTGAAATTACAAATGTGTACCACCACACCTGGAAATTTTATATTTTTTTATAGGGTGATGCAACCTGTATCTGTGTGCTTCACTGGACTCTCGGCTCTCTGAAGGCAGGAATATCACCATGGAGTTCTCGATGGATCCCAGTGGATGAAGGGATAACTACATAATGTAAAAGCTAAATTGTACTAAATCATTCTGGGGCAGGATTTATTTGACATAGTTTACAATCTCTTTTCGGGAAGAAATTCCTGAAAAATGCTTAGGCAGTGTTCTGTCCCATTCAGTGAGAACTGGCCCTATTAATGAACCTCAGTCTGGCATTTAGGGTCTGAATAATCTCTAATTAGATATTTATTTAGTGAACCATCATCTTGCTCTTTTACATTATCTTTTGTTAGGTAACTGTCAAGAAAGAATTGTCTTAGAGTTCTATTCTTACATAAAGCTTGATACATGTATATAACAAGATTTTTGGAGTATGTTTTTCTTAATAAATTTCAACACACGCTGTGATTATTTGGGAGAAACTGAAATTTCAAGGCTTTCAGATTTTCCTCTGTGCTGAAAATTAACATTAGCGTGAATAACACGACAGTTTCCAACACAGCGCCCCCTTGTGTCCACAGCCCAAACAAATGTAAGCAATGCAAGGCGGGTGAAAGACTACAATTCCCTTGATAAAGCGCTCATCTGGCGTCATTACCGAGCGCCGGCTTCTGTTACCAAAGCACTTCTTCCCCATTGGCTGGCTATTGCAGGCGCCGGCGCAATTTGTACAGTTCCCCGCCCCGCAAAGCCTTAGTGTTTCCGTGTCGCGCGAGCGACTCTGGGATAGCGATGGAGACTCCGAGAGCCACGGGAGGTTCTGTGTTGCTGTCTGCTCGGTCTGGGCCCCCAAGGAAGCGCACGGCTGGGGAGGCTGGAGCTGCGAAGAGCAAGCAACGGGTCCTGGATGAAGAAGAGTATATCGAGGTATACGTCAGTGCAAATGGAGACTTCTGTGTCCCACCCCCGTTGCGCGCTTCTCTCTGGTCCTGTCTTTTCACCCTCCAGTCCACTTGTGGAAGGGGAACAGCCGTGTTTCTGCGCTTGGGATGAGGATAGTCCCGAGAGCCAACTAAACAGTGGAGCGGGAAATGTCCCTGATTGGGGAGACACTAACAATGTTTCCAGGGTAGCAAAAGGGCGATAAGTGATGAGGGTTGGCTAAATATGCTTCTGTTTTACTGTAGGAATAGAAACTTGACACATTTGAAAAATAATGACAAACGGGACTTTATAGATGGCGGTAACAATCAGTATAAAGGCTGGGGATTTTGGTTGTAGGCAGCGGTTGTGGCAGCATCTTTGAATAGACTTCAGATACCCCTGGAAATAAGGGTTGGTCCTGCCGCAAGCTCGCAGGAGGAGCTGGCACAGAGATTGGGGGAAACCCGTTTGGTTTGAGATCTGTTAAATATGGGACATTTCTGGTATGTACAGGTTGATAGCAGTAGTAGACAGCTGGATGTAATCATTTGCAGTTCCAAAGCAAGCTGTAGCGGGGTTCTGGATGGGAATTTTAACCACTAATGTTAGAAATGGTGACTGGCGCCAGGCGTGGTGGCTCACACCTGTAATCCCAGCACTTGGGAGGCTGAGGCAGGAGGATTGTTGCAAATTCGAGACGAGCCTGGGTTACAAAATGAGCTCAAGGCCAGCTTAAACTGCATAGTGAGACCCTGTCTGAAAAAGACAAAAAAGAAAAGAAATGGTGACTGGCTGAAGTCACTCAGCAGAGAGGTGCAAGATTGGAAACAGCAACTCATGGATGGAACTAAAGTGGCAACAGCCCATGTTTGGCTGGTGTGGAGCCACCAAAGGAGAATAAAAATGACCCTTAGTAAAGGGAGAGAGGAGGGGCTCATGGACATGACAGGAGTATTTAGTAATGTTGGCCCACATGTGATGTTCAGTCTCACCAGAAATTGATCAGAAGGTCTCCCAATTATTGGGGCAGGCAGAAGTAAAAGGAAGTGTTCTGAGGACCTTAGCATGTATAATAGTGAATTGTGAGGTGGGTCATCCAGATGGCAGCTCTTAATTTTTCTTCTGGTCACTCCTTACAGGGCCTCCAGACAGTCATCCAGAGGGATTTCTTTCCTGATGTAGAGAAACTACAGGCACAAAAGGAGTATCTAGAGGCTGAGGAGAATGGAGACTTAGAACGGATGCGCCAGATTGCCATCAAATTTGGCTCTGCCCTGGGCAAGATGACCCGAGAGCCTCCACCACCTTGTAAGAGGATTGTGTGGGTGACAAAGGGGAAAACCCATCAATTGTCACCATAGGCTTACTCAGACTTTTAACCTCCTTCTCCTAGATGTGACTCCAGCCACATTTGAAACCCCTGAGGTACACACAGGTACTGGAATAGTAGGCAACAAGCCCAGGCCCCGGGCAGAAGGCCTGGAGGATGGTGAGTGCTCCATCTGTTGGTTGTATGGTCACAATTATCTGGGAGTCTTATTCTGGCATGCCCAGGGGCTACAGGACACGTCTCATCTGTGAAAGATATCCTTGCTTGAAAGCAACCTGTGAGGCTAGAGAGACTTGTTCTAGGATGTGGAAGATCTGGGTCCAACTCCTAGGTGTTTTTTTGAGATGGGTCTTACTATGTTGCCCAGACTGCTAGCTTTGTGTTTTTATTGTAGGACATACTATTTTAAAAGGCATTTTGATTTATTACCTCTTAACCTAATTAGTGTCCACTCCATGAGAGCAGTTGCTCCCCCTGTGAAATAGCACATGGTATGATGTGGACCTGCAACAGATACGTAGAACCGATGAATGGTTGTCTTGAAGTTTGTACTGGAACATGAGACACATAGGTGTATAGGGTGTACCATGACTTTAAGAGGAAATCTTTTTAGGAAACAGCATTCTAAGCTATGTGGAGCATAAGAGTATCTTAAATTACAGAACTTTTTGGTCACAGGATTTTTTTTTTCAGCAGTAGAATATTAGTGTAGGCCGAGGTGGACAAGATACTTTTCTTCAACTAGGTTCTAATGTATTATAGTATACTAATGCAGAAGTTCATTGCATTGAAACAAATATATTTTCTGTTTCATAGCCCAGCTGTTCATGCTATCAGCCCATTGTCATCATCTTCCTTGGAGCTTGGGTCTTCATTTAAATGTAACACATAAGTTTCAGGGCAATTTGAAGATTCTTTTTCTTTTTTCTTTCAGTATGGTGATTGAACCCAAAGCCTTTTCACTGAACTACATTCCCAGACCTTTTTATTTTTTATTTTGAGATGCGGTCTCACTAAGTTGTCTAGGCTGGGCTAAAACATGCTATCCCAGTACTCTGGAATTATGGATGTGCGCTACCATGTCCAACTGATTCTTTTCTTTTTATATTCTGGCATGCCTAGGGGTCATCCAGAGGGATTTCTTTCCTGATGTAGGAAAGAAATGCAATGAACTTCTGCATTAGTATACCATAATACATTCTTTTATATGCCAGTAAATGTAGGAGTTATTTTTGTAATTTAGATGGTAGGAACCACTGTCATGTTTACAGATGAGGAAACTGAGGCTAACAAAAGGCAGTAACTTCTCTCTGAGAGATGATCAATAGTCAAGGCTTGAGTTTTCACCTTTTTGATCCCAGTTATTCAGTTACTAGCTTCGTGCATAGTCTGGCATGTAGCAAGTGGTGGTCAAAATTGTTACTAGACACACTCTAATTCCAGCACTCAGGAGGCTGAGGCAGCAGGATCACTGAGTTCGAGGCCAGCCTGGGCTACATGTTGAGTTCAGGGCCAAAAATTACATAGAATGCTTATTACATACATGCTTACTATCTCTTACCCTAATTAGTGTCTACTCCGTGAGAGCAGTTGCTCCCCCTGGGAAACAGTACATGGTGTGATGCCTTCTATTCATTAGAATAGAAGAAAAAGCTTCCCTCCCTGTTGGATCTGGTGGTGCCAGCTATTGTTTCAGCTAATTGGAAGGCTGAGGTGAGAGATCACTGGAGCCCAGGAATTCAAAATGTATCTGGGCAATATAGCAAGAGTCTATCTTAAAAAAAAAAAAAAAAAAAAAAACAACTTGAACCCACTAAAATTTTATAGCAGCCCCGGGGTGCTACCTCAAGGAATGCAGCTTTCCATGGTGGCAAGGGGGCCAGTGGAGTGGTCTAGTGCCTGTGAGGCCCCATCTGGAGCCCAGGGTCATAGGAGATTCATGCCAGAGGCTGGCTGACAGGCTAGATAGTTAGGTGACAACCACTCACTTGTCCAAATACCAGGAAAAAAGATGGTGAGGGTGAGAAAATCCCAGGAGGGAAGGATCATCTGGAGATTTGGTAGTGGGGCCTACAGAATTAATACAATTTTGAGAGAAAAGAGATTGTCAAACTCCAGTGACCACAAACTCCTATTTTAATTCCTAGATCTGCCCTACCCCACCTAACCAGTTACATACAAATTACGCTTGTTGTCTGGTAGATGAACAGAGGCAGCTGCAAGGTGGTCTGGGTAGTTAAGAGTGGCAAAAAAAAGTGGCGTGATTCTGCCCTCATGGGGAGTTGTCTAACGGATGAGAATTCCACCTTGCTATAGTGTGGCCTGATTCCCAGACGGGATATACTGATCTCTCCTGACTGCCAAGTGTGGTTAACACCATGTATGATACGTATGTTCCCCCCACCTGCAACCCCTGAGCAGGAGACGCTGGAGAAGAGGAGGAAAAGGAGCCACTGCCCAGCCTGGATGTCTTCCTGAGCCGCTACACAAGCGAGGACAATGCCTCTTTCCAAGAGATCGTGGAAGTGGCCAAGGAGAAAAGCCGGGCCCGCCATGCCTGGCTTTACCAGGCTGAAGAGGAGTTTGAGAAGGTACCTCTGGAGCTTGGGGACGATGGAATCCTCTGTTGGGGTGGGGGAGTCCCAGACCCATAGGCATAGTGCCTGGGGGTCCTTCTGACCCTCACTTTTCCCCATGTGATTGTAGAGACAGAAAGATAATCTTGAACTCCCATCAGCAGAGCACCAGGCCATCGAGAACAGCCAGGCAGGTGTGGAGACCTGGAAGTACAAAGCCAAGAACTCCCTCATGTACTATCCAGAGGGTGAGTGGGCAGGCGGGGTGGCAGGATGGGGCACAGTGTCTTGCTTGTGTCTGGCTTTCTTTGAATTGGCCTTCAGAGTAGAGGCCTTGGGGGAATCCTCTGTGCTGGTGTGGAGTGAGCTAGGTTGCACATGTCTGTCCACATGGGAGTAACTTAGGACTGAGAGGTGGAGCATGGTCTTGTCCCTTGGGCTGCAGACCTGCTAGGGCTGGTGTGGGGCCTATGCAGCACTCTGACACAATTGTCATCTCTGCTTCATTTGCCAGGTGTCCCTGATGAAGAGCAGCTGTTTAAGAAACCCCGGAAAGTGGTGCATAAGAACACTCGCTTCCTTAGGGACCCCTT